AGAAACACTCGCTACGCTCGTGTTCCTAAGCTTGCTTCTCTCGTGTTTTTCGAACTCCCACCGTGTTTATATCAGAGGACAGAGACACGGCTTACCGGCAAAATTTTCTTTTCGCTCGAAAAATTTTATAATTAAGAAATATAAAACGGCCACTTGTGTCTCTGTACTCTGATATAAACACGGTGGGAGTCGAAAAACACTCGAGAAGCAAGAGAAACACTCGCTACGCTCGTGTTCCTAAGCTTGCTTCTCTCGTGTTTTTCGAACTCCCACCGTGTTTATATCAGAGGACAGAGACACGGCTTACCGGCAAAATTTTCTTTTCGCTCGAAAAATTTTATAATTAAGAAATATAAAACGGCCACTTGTGTCTCTGTACTCTGATATAAACACGGTGGGAGTCGAAAAACACTCGAGAAGCAAGAGAAACACTCGCTACGCTCGTGTTCCTAAGCTTGCTTCTCTCGTGTTTTTCGAACTCCCACCGTGTTTATATCAGAGGACAGAGACACGGCTTACCGGCAAAATTTTCTTTTCGCTCGAAAAATTTTATAATTAAGAAATATAAAACGGCCACTTGTGTCTCTGTACTCTGATATAAACACGGTGGGAGTCGAAAAACACTCGAGAAGCAAGAGAAACACTCGCTACGCTCGTGTTCCTAAGCTTGCTTCTCTCGTGTTTTTCGAACTCCCACCGTGTTTATATCAGAGGACAGAGACACGGCTTACCGGCAAAATTTTCTTTTCGCTCGAAAAATTTTATAATTAAGAAATATAAAACGGCCACTTGTGTCTCTGTACTCTGATATAAACACGGTGGGAGTCGAAAAACACTCGAGAAGCAAGAGAAACACTCGCTACGCTCGTGTTCCTAAGCTTGCTTCTCTCGTGTTTTTCGAACTCCCACCGTGTTTATATCAGAGGACAGAGACACGGCTTACCGGCAAAATTTTCTTTTCGCTCGAAAAATTTTATAATTAAGAAATATAAAACGGCCACTTGTGTCTCTGTACTCTGATATAAACACGGTGGGAGTCGAAAAACACTCGAGAAGCAAGAGAAACACTCGCTACGCTCGTGTTCCTAAGCTTGCTTCTCTCGTGTTTTTCGAACTCCCACCGTGTTTATATCAGAGGACAGAGACACGGCTTACCGGCAAAATTTTCTTTTCGCTCGAAAAATTTTATAATTAAGAAATATAAAACGGCCACTTGTGTCTCTGTACTCTGATATAAACACGGTGGGAGTCGAAAAACACTCGAGAAGCAAGAGAAACACTCGCTACGCTCGTGTTCCTAAGCTTGCTTCTCTCGTGTTTTTCGAACTCCCACCGTGTTTATATCAGAGGACAGAGACACGGCTTACCGGCAAAATTTTCTTTTCGCTCGAAAAATTTTATAATTAAGAAATATAAAACGGCCACTTGTGTCTCTGTACTCTGATATAAACACGGTGGGAGTCGAAAAACACTCGAGAAGCAAGAGAAACACTCGCTACGCTCGTGTTCCTAAGCTTGCTTCTCTCGTGTTTTTCGAACTCCCACCGTGTTTATATCAGAGGACAGAGACACGGCTTACCGGCAAAATTTTCTTTTCGCTCGAAAAATTTTATAATTAAGAAATATAAAACGGCCACTTGTGTCTCTGTACTCTGATATAAACACGGTGGGAGTCGAAAAACACTCGAGAAGCAAGAGAAACACTCGCTACGCTCGTGTTCCTAAGCTTGCTTCTCTCGTGTTTTTCGAACTCCCACCGTGTTTATATCAGAGGACAGAGACACGGCTTACCGGCAAAATTTTCTTTTCGCTCGAAAAATTTTATAATTAAGAAATATAAAACGGCCACTTGTGTCTCTGTACTCTGATATAAACACGGTGGGAGTCGAAAAACACTCGAGAAGCAAGAGAAACACTCGCTACGCTCGTGTTCCTAAGCTTGCTTCTCTCGTGTTTTTCGAACTCCCACCGTGTTTATATCAGAGGACAGAGACACGGCTTACCGGCAAAATTTTCTTTTCGCTCGAAAAATTTTATAATTAAGAAATATAAAACGGCCACTTGTGTCTCTGTACTCTGATATAAACACGGTGGGAGTCGAAAAACACTCGAGAAGCAAGAGAAACACTCGCTACGCTCGTGTTCCTAAGCTTGCTTCTCTCGTGTTTTTCGAACTCCCACCGTGTTTATATCAGAGGACAGAGACACGGCTTACCGGCAAAATTTTCTTTTCGCTCGAAAAATTTTATAATTAAGAAATATAAAACGGCCACTTGTGTCTCTGTACTCTGATATAAACACGGTGGGAGTCGAAAAACACTCGAGAAGCAAGAGAAACACTCGCTACGCTCGTGTTCCTAAGCTTGCTTCTCTCGTGTTTTTCGAACTCCCACCGTGTTTATATCAGAGGACAGAGACACGGCTTACCGGCAAAATTTTCTTTTCGCTCGAAAAATTTTATAATTAAGAAATATAAAACGGCCACTTGTGTCTCTGTACTCTGATATAAACACGGTGGGAGTCGAAAAACACTCGAGAAGCAAGAGAAACACTCGCTACGCTCGTGTTCCTAAGCTTGCTTCTCTCGTGTTTTTCGAACTCCCACCGTGTTTATATCAGAGGACAGAGACACGGCTTACCGGCAAAATTTTCTTTTCGCTCGAAAAATTTTATAATTAAGAAATATAAAACGGCCACTTGTGTCTCTGTACTCTGATATAAACACGGTGGGAGTCGAAAAACACTCGAGAAGCAAGAGAAACACTCGCTACGCTCGTGTTCCTAAGCTTGCTTCTCTCGTGTTTTTCGAACTCCCACCGTGTTTATATCAGAGGACAGAGACACGGCTTACCGGCAAAATTTTCTTTTCGCTCGAAAAATTTTATAATTAAGAAATATAAAACGGCCACTTGTGTCTCTGTACTCTGATATAAACACGGTGGGAGTCGAAAAACACTCGAGAAGCAAGAGAAACACTCGCTACGCTCGTGTTCCTAAGCTTGCTTCTCTCGTGTTTTTCGAACTCCCACCGTGTTTATATCAGAGGACAGAGACACGGCTTACCGGCAAAATTTTCTTTTCGCTCGAAAAATTTTATAATTAAGAAATATAAAACGGCCACTTGTGTCTCTGTACTCTGATATAAACACGGTGGGAGTCGAAAAACACTCGAGAAGCAAGAGAAACACTCGCTACGCTCGTGTTCCTAAGCTTGCTTCTCTCGTGTTTTTCGAACTCCCACCGTGTTTATATCAGAGGACAGAGACACGGCTTACCGGCAAAATTTTCTTTTCGCTCGAAAAATTTTATAATTAAGAAATATAAAACGGCCACTTGTGTCTCTGTACTCTGATATAAACACGGTGGGAGTCGAAAAACACTCGAGAAGCAAGAGAAACACTCGCTACGCTCGTGTTCCTAAGCTTGCTTCTCTCGTGTTTTTCGAACTCCCACCGTGTTTATATCAGAGGACAGAGACACGGCTTACCGGCAAAATTTTCTTTTCGCTCGAAAAATTTTATAATTAAGAAATATAAAACGGCCACTTGTGTCTCTGTACTCTGATATAAACACGGTGGGAGTCGAAAAACACTCGAGAAGCAAGAGAAACACTCGCTACGCTCGTGTTCCTAAGCTTGCTTCTCTCGTGTTTTTCGAACTCCCACCGTGTTTATATCAGAGGACAGAGACACGGCTTACCGGCAAAATTTTCTTTTCGCTCGAAAAATTTTATAATTAAGAAATATAAAACGGCCACTTGTGTCTCTGTACTCTGATATAAACACGGTGGGAGTCGAAAAACACTCGAGAAGCAAGAGAAACACTCGCTACGCTCGTGTTCCTAAGCTTGCTTCTCTCGTGTTTTTCGAACTCCCACCGTGTTTATATCAGAGGACAGAGACACGGCTTACCGGCAAAATTTTCTTTTCGCTCGAAAAATTTTATAATTAAGAAATATAAAACGGCCACTTGTGTCTCTGTACTCTGATATAAACACGGTGGGAGTCGAAAAACACTCGAGAAGCAAGAGAAACACTCGCTACGCTCGTGTTCCTAAGCTTGCTTCTCTCGTGTTTTTCGAACTCCCACCGTGTTTATATCAGAGGACAGAGACACGGCTTACCGGCAAAATTTTCTTTTCGCTCGAAAAATTTTATAATTAAGAAATATAAAACGGCCACTTGTGTCTCTGTACTCTGATATAAACACGGTGGGAGTCGAAAAACACTCGAGAAGCAAGAGAAACACTCGCTACGCTCGTGTTCCTAAGCTTGCTTCTCTCGTGTTTTTCGAACTCCCACCGTGTTTATATCAGAGGACAGAGACACGGCTTACCGGCAAAATTTTCTTTTCGCTCGAAAAATTTTATAATTAAGAAATATAAAACGGCCACTTGTGTCTCTGTACTCTGATATAAACACGGTGGGAGTCGAAAAACACTCGAGAAGCAAGAGAAACACTCGCTACGCTCGTGTTCCTAAGCTTGCTTCTCTCGTGTTTTTCGAACTCCCACCGTGTTTATATCAGAGGACAGAGACACGGCTTACCGGCAAAATTTTCTTTTCGCTCGAAAAATTTTATAATTAAGAAATATAAAACGGCCACTTGTGTCTCTGTACTCTGATATAAACACGGTGGGAGTCGAAAAACACTCGAGAAGCAAGAGAAACACTCGCTACGCTCGTGTTCCTAAGCTTGCTTCTCTCGTGTTTTTCGAACTCCCACCGTGTTTATATCAGAGGACAGAGACACGCGCGCCGTTTTATATTTCTTAAATATAGKAATGGCGCCATTTTCTAGAACTATGGGAAATTGAGCAGTCGCGCGCACTTTAATTTTATTCATCAAAACAATTTCTTACCTGCTTTTTCTGTAACGAAATAACAAATCAACTTGTGTTTCGTATTGTACAGCACATGATCGCATTTTTAGGAATTTTTGAAGCTGTGTTTGCAAAATCTAGTTTAAGATTATCTCAACATAACTCCCAACTTCTCCATAGGCGGAACCGTAGCGAACCGGATATTGCATCTCTCGACCTCAGCAACAGTTTATCACCGAAAAGAGGCACATTAAAGCGACAAGAATCGAAGTCCACRGAAAATTCACCAGTTTTACCGAGACACCAAAGAAATGTGAGTACTAGCGATCATTGTAGATCTTTAACGTCGTGTACCGTCTACGCAATGCATTGTAGGATAGGTTTGGGACAAAATATGGCGGATTTTTTTTTTCTTTAGGAACTGATCCCACAATGCATTGAAAGTCAAGTAGTGACTACTTTTATTGAATTTTTCGTTTTTCGTCCTACAGAAAAGCAAACAAATGCTGAGTTTGGGCTACCTGTGAATGGACATGAAATACGGATGACTTACATTGATTTTTTTTTATAGAATTCAAGTGATTCAACCTCGTCATCATCCTCTTCGTCAACCTCGTCAAAGGAAATTCCTTTTTCTAAAAGATCATCGTCGCCTTGCTTCAGGTCGCTTACATCTCGAGCCTCTTCTCCTCCTGCAATCTGCGTCTCCTCGCCTGTTCGAAACTCAATCCTTTCGGAATTGGACCGAGGGCACATAATTCGAGTCAGCTTGGAGGACAACCACGATAGTGGCCTACTTTATAAAGGTGTTTGGGTAAGGAAAGGCTTTTGTAATTTCCAAAAGCAAAAGGCGTTTCAATGCCATCATCGCGCGAAGAATCGCAGCTTTAGACTGAAATACAAACATCTTATAGACCGCCTAAGCACATTKAACGACRTMRAMTCGCGCGCTAGTACATTTCGTCTACTAAATCAAATCAGTGGTGGTTGGGCTGCCTATGGTGACATCCGATTTTCACTTTAAACCTGCCTACGAAATGAACCTGATTTGCAGAGTTTTCATACAATATTGCGCGACAAGCTACAATTGTAGGTCGCCAGAGCAAACAGCGATCCCTTTCAGTTATTGGCTTGGTTTTCATTTCACTAATAATAATTTATAATTTCTTTAGCTTGGTCAAGACGAACGAACGTTATCTGTAATACAAAAGTGTCTACAAAAACATGGTTTAAATGATAAACCGTCGGATTACTTCCTGGTTCAGCAACTACACAATGATAGTAAGTACTGTCGATCCATTCGCAATCCGTTTAAGGCATAAAAGTGATGATCAAGAGTAAGTTTTTGCTTATTTTACGTTGTAATAAAAAAAAGCTCGCAAGGAATGCCGGTTGAATCGAGCCCTTTGAGAAGAGATTCATAATTTGAGCCAGTTTAGTTGTGTTTCTTATTGGACATCTCTGCTATACTCTATACTGTCCATCAATAGGTTTTGCAGGAGATTTGCGTCCGTTACACAATGTTGCTTGATGGGAAATAGATCCTCTTCCTAATTGACCTTCTAAAATGATTTGTTTTGTGCACATGACGCCATTAGAATTTCATTCTCATTCATGAGAAAAGAAAATGCTGTTTAGTACATCTGTGAAGAAAGAAATTGATTTTAAATTGTATTTTCTTAGTTATGGACTTTTAAAACTTAGATAATGCAAATGAAGTGACGTCTGCTAAAGAATGATTTGATAGACAAAATATTGGGAAAAGCATTTGCAGCTCTCAATTATTACTACGATTGATGGTTTTGAGCTCTTCAACCAAGAACAACATAACACAAACAATGTTAAAAGTCTGCACCAATTCCTTAGTTGACGTCACCTCATTTGCATTTTCAACTTTCAAATCATGTCTATAACTCGGAAAATACAATTCAAAATCGATTTCTTTTTTCTTGGCAGCGTGTTACCTTTCGGATAAAACTGTCACTTATTTTGTACATACTGTGTATTTCAGATGAGCTTGTCTTTCCTGGTAACTGCAATGTGTACTACGCGATGAAGTCAAAGGAAGAACCGCTGACCTTTCGACTCAGAAAAAAGAAATCCAGTTGATATTGGATAATTAGCAGTTACTACAAGGCTGCAACATTTTGGCGTACTTTTAACATCAGCTAAATTGTACATGGTTCCCGAGTTGTCACCACTCAAGAATCTCCGAAAAGTAAGTCGAGTTATTGCCGAAACGTATGTCAAAACTGATTTACCGAGGTAATGTCGAAATGTACCGAGGTAATGTCGAAATGTACCGAGGTGTAGACGAAATGTACCGAGGAGAAGACGAAATGTGCCGAGGAGTAGACGAAATGTACCGAGGAGTAGACGAAATGTACCGAGGAGTAGACGAAATGTACCGAGGAGTAGACGAAATGTGCCGAGGAGAAGTCGAAATGTACCGAGGAGTAGACGAATGTACCGAGGAGTAGATGAAATGTGCCGAGGAGAAGTCGGAATATACCGAGGCGTTGCCGAAATGTATCGAGGAGTAGAAGAATGTACCGAGAAGTAGACGAATTGTACCAAAAAGTAGGCGAACTGTACCCGGTAGCAAATCTTCTAAACATTTGAAACTCTGACTGATGCTTTACAGAAGACGTTTTTGATTGCTATAAATATTAAATGTTAAAAAAGTGCCAAAAAAAAACAAGGTATGACTTCGAAACATCCTGTTCATGGTACGAATAAGAAGAAAAATTTCTTTAAAAAAAAACTACGAACAGTGTCTTAAGTGGTCTTAAGTGGTCGTAACGCCGTTAAAATTTCAGTTTAATAAAAACAATCGCTGAAATGGAAGTACATAATGTAACGCTTCATGTTTTAGGAATTTAAAACCTTGTTATATTTGTAGCTTTTTAACGGTTTTCGCGAGAGAGGTTGGAAAATGCACGAAATCAACTGAGTTATTGTGGTTGATCATATAGGTAATATTTATTTTTAAGCGATAGTAGGAAGTTTAAAATACTCATGATTTCACTCGGCTCTAGGCAGAATATTTCGAGTGATACGACAGTTTGAGTTTCACGATATCTTCTACAATGAGTTMGCCTCAATTGTGTGCAAAATATTCGGAAATTTTGATAAAACTCATGAAATTTCAAACTATTTCCATTGTCGTTCACGGATCTCTTGCATTTGTACGGGCTATAAGTGAATAAAAGAATCTATTACATGGTTTTGAGGCTAACACAGCGTAAACGAGATCGCTAAAAAGGGCAATTTAAAAGATTTCCACTAAAACTTTGTCTAGTAACTGATGTTTTCAAAATGCTGTTGCGAAGAGCACTTTGACTACACTAGAAAGTAGGTTTAGTTTGCCTTGTCGTTGCGCTCTTCGAATGACAATTTCGAGTTCTGTGTTGGCTCCGTATTAGCCTCAAAACCAAGTAACATATTCTTTCGTCTCATTGATAGCCAGAGAAAACCCATAGAATTTGTGAAGAAAGACACTAAAATTGATTTGAAATCTCACACTTTTATTCTCACAATTAGGAATATTTTGCGCACAAATGACGCTAACGCAGAGCATCGGAGAATTCGAAACTGGAGTATTGCATTCATGGTTAAGTTAACAGGTCTTAAAAAATCAGAACCAACCGCTGTACCTTGCGAGTCGAAGCGCCATTTAAGATGGACACGAAAATGGCAGACTCGTAGGATTTCAAAGTGAGCGCCAATCGTCTTGTTTGGACTGAAATGTCTTCAACAAAGTACCTCACAGATACTAGAGCGGATTTCGTATGAGTGGGAAACGGACGGTACTGTACTGTGAACGTAATCGTACTGTAACCAAATTCTAGTGTCCAATTGGTCACTAAACTTGTGCGGACCAGGTCCGGTAACTGTGCGGTAACCGTGCGGTAACGGTGTCCCACTCATACGAAATCCGCTCTATCATCTAAAATSTATTGTATGCTTGACGCATTTAAAGTATATAAACAATAACATCAGCGCGCGCTGCACTGTGGTTGGTTTAGATCCTTTAACAATGTGAAGRGTAATCGAAATGTTGACCTTCGATGAAATAATATGCTCTTTCGAGACATCAGAATGAATGTTATCCAATACATGACCAATACATACAATAACATTAGATTGTGCTTTTTCTAATTTTAAAAATAGATTATTTTGATTTTAGGTTCATTTACAGATTGACAGAAAGTATTTCAAAGTTCTATAAAAATTAACAATTTTAATATTAAATGAATAAAATAAATCTTTATTTAGTAAACATTTTTATCGTGGTTTATACTGAAAATCGTCGATTTTTAATTAGGATGCATGATTCAAAATAACCAGAAAACATCCATGGGTCATTTCCAACGTTTTTGATGGRCTATAGCMCATGCATATTGATCAAAAATGGGTCATTTTCAGCGTTTTTGATGAGCTATAGCCCAT